CTTACACCATAAGGTGGCTCCATGGAGAACCCCAAGTTAAACCTTTAAAGTTTACCTTTGCTTCTTCTCATCCAAGCCTTTTCATCTTTCGTCCTTTGATCTTAAATAAAATCAACGTGTGTGCTACCCAACAACTGGTCCAAGTTGCTTTGTCAACATCCAAGGGATTCGAAGATGACATTGATGAGTATATAGTCTAATATAGGAGGTAGATTGATCCACAGCATGTATCTGTCCTATTTCTGATGGATGCTGGGTACTCACTGCTCTGTCCCATTGGAGGTTTTCCCTGTGATCTAGAGGCCTTCTCTTTTTGCCTTTGTCCCTTGATCCATGTGCTGGATATAAGTGAATGGGTTTAGTCCTGTTGCTTGGGATTTCTGTGTGTATTTGCATTGGGTCCTGGGGAAGGAGTAGAAGGTAATGTGAGAAGTAACGGAAGCATGTTAGGATGAAAGTTGGGTTCTCACTACTATGGAGAAGAAGCACAAGGAGGCAATTGTAAGAATATACAGGATTCATAGCTGTTTCTCCTTGGATGCTTTCTTAAGAGGTAGCAGTAAGGTAAGAGAAGTTGATTCTTAGAGAAGCCTGTATAAATATCTTGCCTCATGTGCAGGTGAGGGCATTAGCCATCTAATTGTATGAATGCATTATTACCATGCTCTGAGAAGTGCAGCTTTTGACAAGTCCTCATTGCAAAGCTCTGTGGAAATATGAGCTGTTAATGCACAGGTACTTCTTTAAAGTCTCCTCCTAGTTAGGCAAGGCCAGTCATTCCTCTACAAGCTTACCCGGTTCATTGAGGTTTTCTGTTTTCATCTGTCAAGGTAGTAGGTAATTTCATGATTTTGAATGTCAAATGTTCATGGGTTGTTTTATTTTGTTTTTCTTTTCTGGAGGTAGTAGATCATTTTAGAGAAAAATACAAAATATTAACTTTGTAAAGTGAGAGGTGGAGCATGTAATAGATGCTTTTTCATTGCTGTGATAAAACACCATGACCACAACAATTTATAAATGTGCTTAATCGGGTTCCTAGAGTGAGAGTCTATGGTGGAAGGCATGAAGGCATGGTGGAAGGGGGCTGGAACGGCAGCTGAGAGCTCACATCTTGATCCACAAGCACAACACAGCACACTGGGAATGGCATAAGTCTTTTCACACCTCAAAGTCCACCCCTAGTGACACAGTTCCTCCAACAAGGCCACACCTCCTCACCTTTCCCAAACAGTTCCACCAACTGGGAACCAAGTATTCAAACATGTGAACCTCTGGGGCGGTTCTCATTCAAACAACCAGAAAAGTTACATAGAAATTCTTGTCGAATTAGTGATTTTTAATTTTATTTCTCAGTTTATAGACTGTGTACCAGAGAAAAAGTTATAAAACAAATTTCACTAAACATTTTTGATATATGACATTACAAATCACTTCCTAAGGAGAAAAATTAGCAACCTTACCTGTCCTGAACATTGTTAATACTTTTTATTATACTTTTACAAAGCTTCTGTGTGTATAACCCTTAAGACAGAGACTGCTGTTGCTGTCATCTCTATGTTATAGTTGTCTGAAGTAAAGGCTAAGGCAAATATGGTAGTTGGATTAGAACTTATAATTCCAATATGATATAATATACCAATGTAATATAATATAGTATAATATAGCTCTAACATCATACTCTGTCATACTAAAAATTTCAGTACTCTTTCCTTTGCAAATTGTTCACATTAAGTTTTTATGATTCCATAATCATAAAAGAAAAATGAAAAAATTGAGTGAGTTTTAATCTATATAAAATATACTATTTTCTATTTTGTTTCTGTCTTCTTTTTTTTGAGACAGAATTTCATGTTGTTGTCCTTACTGGCCTGAAATTCACTATGTAGCCCAACATGACCTTAACCTTAATCCATCCTCCTTCCTCAGTTTCTCAAGAACTCGGGTTACTTGAATACACCACTACACCTAGCTTTCTAAACATCACAGCCATGAGCAATGGGTGTTTTTTGTTTGTTTTTTTGTTTTGAAAGTACTACATTATGTCATAGTAGTTTCTCAAAAGGAAGGTTTAGAAATCTGTCAGTACAGAGGCTAATCTGTCTTGTACAGGGGTGGGCTGAGATAAATGTTTTCCTGCCCAGAGACATTTCCTTTAGGCTCTCTGGAGGCTTAGATCGCCTCTGCTTCCCGTCACCCACAGCCTTTTTATTCTCTTTCCCTACCTTTAAGTTTATCACTAGATCATTTACATTGCTCTTTTACTAGGGAGTGCTGTTGATATAGGTTTGCAGAACTTACACTATTGCCACATCACAGCTACTCTGGAAATAGCTCTACATGGTGTACACCTAAATCCAGATGTCATTTCAGCTCGAAACCCAAGTAGATTATATGTTGTTTACTACTGACAATGAAACCCAGGGCCAGGGAGATGGCTTAGTTGGTAAAGTGCTTGTCATATAAACACAAGGACCCAAGTTCAGGTCTCCAGCATGGACATAAAAAGCTAGACCATTAGTACATGCCTGTAATCCTAGCTCTAGGGAGGCAAAGACAGGCAGATCCCCGAAGTTTGCTGGCTGTTTAGTTTCGATGAATTGGTGAGCTCCAAGTTCAGCTACAGACCATGTCTCTAAGCAAAAAAGTGGAAAGCAATAGAGGAAGATACCTAACATCGACTCTTGACTTCCATACTTCCACATACATGCACATACATGTGCACCTATACACACATATATAATTCAAGTCTAGCTGAGCATGATGGTGCACACCTGTAGTTCTGGTGGCTTGGTTGGCACAGCAGGAGGATCATAAATTTAAGGCCTGCCTTATTTACATAGCAAGTTAAGCCTTCTTAGTGAGACCCTGTTTCCAACTGAAAAAAGGGTTTGGGAACTAAGGATGCAGGTCAGTGATAGTGTTTACTTAGCATTGGTTCAGTCTTCAGTACTGCCATTACTGGAAAGAAAGATGGAAGGGAGGGAGGGAGGGAGGGAGGGAGGGAGAGAGGGGAGAGGATCTAGAGATGGTTTTACATAAAATGAGAATATAAGTACAGGTCAGAGAAGAGATTTAGTTTGGCCTATATCAATGTCTCCCTCAGCCAATTGGATCTAGCTTGTCCTACATTATGATCTATTCATAAAACCCAACATTAGAACTTAAGACTATTTTTTTCTTCATTTCCTCTGTGGGGTGTGTGTGTGTGCGTGTGTGCGTGTGCGTGTGCGTGTGCGTGTGCGTGTGCGTGTGTGTGTGTGTGTGTGTGTGTGTGTGTGTTGGGTGTCAGGGGAAGCTCATGCCATGTGGCAGTCAGGACAATTTGCAGGAATCATTTCTCTCATTCTACCACATGGGTCCCAGGGATTGAATTGATATCCTGGGGCTTAGTGGCAAGCACTCTACCTGCTGTACCGTCTTCACAGCCCAGGACTCATAGTTTCTTTCCTTTTATTTTTTCTTAGTACTTCTTTTTTTTTCTTTATTAAGAAATTTTTTATTCATTTTACTTAACAACCACAGATCCCCCTCTCATCCCTCCTCCCCCTCCTCCCCAGCCTTCCCCCTACCAGCTCAACCCCCCCTCCTCCCCGCAAAAGGTAAGGCCTCCCATAGGGAGTCAGCAAAGCCTGGTACATTCAGTTGAGGCAGGTCCAAGCCCCTCCCACCTGCTTCAAGGCTGTGCAACATGTTCCACCATAGGTAATGGGCTCCAAAAAGCCAGCTCATGCACAGGGATAGATCCTGATTCCACTGCCAGGGGCCCCTTAAACAGGCCAAGCTGCACAACTGTCTCACTTATACAGAGGGTCTATACCAGTCCCATGCAAGCTCCACAGCTGTTGGTCTAAAGTTCATGAGTTCCCGCTAGCTTGGATAACAACCGAGACAACTGTACTTATATTTTAAAGGGCAATTCCTTCTTGGAGAGTCCAAGCAGACATTGCATGCTGATTCACTGTAGTGTTAGTAGGATTCATGCATATTAATATATATTGTACTTTTTCTCAAAATTACCTGTCTGGCTTAGATCCAGAGAACAACTAGTTGAGGCTATAGTCTTAGGACTTTGTGGTGATTATCACAGATTTTCATGATATTGAGGCTACTTGAGCCAAGAGTATTGCTAGCCAAATACCATTTCCGTTAATCTTCATAAAATAATGGGTGCAAAATTTCAAATAACAATGTTTTCTTCAACTTTTAAAATAAGCATCAAAATTTTTCAAAGAAAATTGTAGATATACAGTCTATAAGTCACCTGTGGCTTAAGGCCACATGCTTATTTCTTACCTCCCCACTAGAATGGTTCTTGAAGGGTATCTGGGAAGTTACCAAGGCTTTGCAGATGATGAAACCACAATGAAAGATTTAGATTGCAAATGCTACCATAGAGAGATGACTGTGCTGTCGAATTACCATCCTAGAACTTTGAAAATAGACATTATATGTAAATTTTTACCCCAAATTACATTTACTATATAAAGCAAAGCCAGGTTTTAATTTTAGTTATTTTTTTTCAGAGCATATTATTTATGCTTTGGGAACGGTAGCAGTACTGGGGCTAACCTACTTTTCTAATTTTAAAAGTAAGTGTCATGGCAGGCATGTTATATACCTGTAATCACAATACTCAGCAGGCCTAAGCAGGAGGACTGTGAGGTCAAGGCCAAGCTAGACTATGTAATAAAATGCTGTCTCAAACAAACTAACAAACAAAATGCAAATTTCATATAGCCCAGAGTCTTTTTTTTTATTGTTTTGTTTTGTTTTTGAAACAGAGTTCCAGGTCTTACTATATAGCTAAGATCGACCTTGAATTTCTGACCCTCCTTTCTCCTTCCAGTGCTGGATTGTAGACATGCACCACTATACCTTGCTTAAGATGCCTTTTCAATAAATTAATTATAAGTAAAGTTGTAATATGGCATGTTATATATATGATTGTTAGGTGATTGATTTTTGCTAGCTTAAATTTTTTCCTTTTTGTCTTCTAGTTTGCCAGGGTTTGGATACCTGATCCTGAGGAAGTATGGAAGTCAGCAGAGTTGCTGAAAGATTATAAGCCTGGAGATAAAGTGCTTCTGCTTCACCTTGAGGAAGGGCAGGTACGGACTTTACCTTCATTTTGTGTTTAGCCTGAAGATCTGGAGGGTAGAAGAGAAAAATCTTACTATAATTCGCTTAATCCCTGTACTGTAAATGTTGGATTACTCTAATATTGTTATTTACTATTTTGATAAAAATGATACTTTTTCTGTACTCTACATAGAGGACAGTGAAAACAAGACATGCTTTAAAACAGCATCATTTTAGCTTCTACATTTATCAAATTTGATTATCAAATTTGCCTTAATATCTAATTTTAATACTAAAGATATGACTGTGCATATCTTTATATTATGTTTAGGACAGCATTGCACTTATTTCATATTAACTAAGTGCCAGTCTAAGATTTGGTATTTTGGAAATAGTTACTAAGGAGCTGTTGTATATGAAGCATTTTGCTAGTCACCAGAAGGCCTTACAAGCAGCCGTGCCTCTGACTGGCTGCATTCTGAGTGAGTGAACTCATCTTGGTTCCAAAGCATTTGACAGGATATGTCACACTTTTTCATAAACAGAACTTTATGACATTCATTTTCTTTAAAGAATTTATAGTGCCAGTGTTGAGTGCTCAGCCCTATATGGGGATCTATATTACCCTGTCCAAGGCTCAAAGAACATTACAGAAGAGAAGAGAGAAAGAATGTAAGAGCTGGAGGATGTTAGGATAGGGTTTCTATGAAATGCTGTTTTCCTGACATGACATGGCTCTTGCACCTTGAACTCATAGCAGCGACTGCTTGCACAGGACTAGGTCTAGAAACATTACAGCATGATGGAAAAAGATTTTATAAGGCCCCACCCCCTCCCTGAAGAGTTACAGATAGTAAATGGTATCTAGGGATGGGGAGTCATATTCCTCAGTGGTCTAGCCCAAGGAATATGCTAAGTTGCTCTTCCTCGAGTTAATAACCCCAAACCCATGGGGTGGATATTTAGAAAGGTATGTGTTTTCATTCAACAAATGCATATTAAGGTAACTGCTATTAGCTATTATAACTATGCTAAGAACTATCAAAAGGCATGGTTTTTGACATCATTTCCAGATAAGAGATGAGCACACTTGCAATAGTATGGCACAAGATATAATACAAACAAAATAAAAAATAGGTCAGAGGAATGTATGATCAGAGGGAGCTAGTGAGTCAGGTAAACACTAAATGAAGGATGTGCACAGGTGACATTTCATTTCAGGCACCCTGGAAAGCGTGGCCATTGACTGGGAAGACATACATAGTCACCCTGGAAAGCATGACCATTGACTGGGAAGACATACATAGTCACCCTGGAAAGCATGGCTGTAACTAGAGTTTTCCCGCCTTGCCCACAGTCAGGACAAATCTTTGTCACCCGCCAGTCCCACAGCCGCTCAGA